ACGTGGCTTTCTTGCAGGCAGTCTCCAGAACGTGACGGATCTTGGGAACCGTAGCGAGCCGCCCGTTTGGGGCCAGCACCGACACCGCGGAGCCCCCGCCGCCCGCCGGGGCCGCCATCTTCCGCTCACGTGACCGCGGCCGGCTCGCCTCAAACTACTTTATCCGCAACAGCCGGGACGCACGGCCACGCGGCCTCGGGGGCGGGGCCGACTGGGGCCCCGCCCCAGACTCCGCCCCTGGCGCCCTGGTCACGTCCCTGGCTCTGCCTCATGTGGAGCAGGCGGGGGCACTGGTCCCTATGGAGTCGCCTAAAGGGCTCTTTGGTGTGGGAGGCGCACACTGCTGCCAGGGGCGCTTTCTTTTCATCCCTCGCCCATGGTCCCAAGATCCGTCACGTTCTGGAGACTGCCTGCAAGAAAGCCACGTTGCCTGCGGCCAACCCCGGGTCCTGCAGCCACCTGTCTGCCACCGAGTCCTAGATATACCCACACCATAGTTAGCCTTCTTTGCACCCACTCCGATGAGCGCTGAGCCTTCCTCCCCCAACTTCTCAGATGTTCCTGTGATCATCATTTTCACATGGTGACAAACGCTTCTATGCTGGTCTTCCCCAAGTGCTTAGGCCAAGTGTGGTGGCTAGCATTTGGAAGGCAGAGACAAGCTGATCCCTGAGTTCCAGGTCAGGTTGATCTACAAAACAAGTTCCAGGACAGCCACGGGTACACAAACCCTTCTTGAAACACTAATAATAATAATTACATTTATGCAATTTTTTATTGTATATATGTGAAAGACGGGGTACAGGAATGTCATGGTACTTGTGTGGATGTCAGAGAACTTGGCAGTCTGTTCTCTCCTTCTGCCTTGTGGAACTAAGGGAAAGAAATCAGGTTCACAGACTGTGGAGCCATCTTACTGATTGCAGGCCCTCTCTTGACTTGCCACCATGACTGAAATGCTTGTGGTCCTTGGAATTGTAAAGACCTCTAAATCTGAGAGCGGAGAAATTAGCACACACCCCAGAAACACCGACTGGGCTCCATTTTTTTTTTTTCACTTGGACTCAGGTGTTTGGTGAACTGATTTCCTCTGGCCAAGTCCCATGCTGAGCAAAGGTTATCAAGGAACCCACTGCAGCCCCGAGGTGCCAGATTAGGACAGTAACTGGCCTCATGGTTCAGACTGCAAATGCCAGATCTGGGAAAAGCAGGTCACCCTGATTCTCCAGCTAGGGACAAGCTTCAGTCCCCAACACATGAGCTTCATTTGTATGTGCCTCCCCCACCCCCACTATCTTCCCCCTCCCCTCACCTGATACCCTAGGCTCAGCTGAATCTTAAATGTCATTCTGAACCACAGCTCAGCTGCCTAGCTCTGGTTTTGCCACATGTCCATCCATCGGCTTGATCATCTCAGCCTGCTCCAGTGTCCTGTCAGAGTTCAGGTGCAGACTCTGGAGGGCCATATGCAAACATTAGTCCTTGTTTAAGCTTGCGACACCTGTGTGTGGGTGCTGGCATGCCTTCATATAAATGTCACACCTGTATATCGACAAGCATGAGGAAAGATTGTGACCGTCTATATGTTCTGTGCAACCTCAGACCTTCACTGAGCCTCTCACTGTGCCTAATCCGTTTGGTAAATTTCTTTTGATTTTTTTTTGACAAACTAGCATTTTTTTTTTAAGAAACTCAAACCTGTTTTCTTTCAACTGTTCCACAGTTAGAATCCCCTGGCAGCACATTTTGAGGGGGAGGTGACAAAGATGGCAAGACCATCAGGAGAGAGAGGACATCAGCTTGTCCTGAAAGTGAATATGTGAAATCTGATCACTTGCCTGGTCAAGTTAAGGTCAGAGTCCTCCATGATCAAGGTCCCCTGTTCCTGGTGGAGTACATAAGTCAGGTCTGGGCTAATTCTTTAGGACGACACATGCCATGTTTTTCACAAATTTGTTTATGAAGCAGTCTTAGCCTCAATTGAGGAATGAGTTCTTTTTGTTTGGTTTCCTGACAATTGTCCTGGCTAGTTTCATAACAACTTGACCACAAGCTAGAGCCGTCTGAAAGATGGGGATCTCAGTTGAGAAAATCTCCATAACATCCAGCTGTAGGGCATGTTCTTAATTAGTCACGGATGAGGGCAGCACAGCCCATTTTGGGTGGTTCTATTCCTTGGGCTGGTGGTCCTTGGTTCTATAAGAAAGCAGGCTGAGCAAGCCGTAAGGAGCAAGCCAGTAAGCAGCGTTCCTCCATGGCCTCTGCATCGGCTCCTGCAGGGACAAACAGGTTCCTGTCCTGTTTGTGTTTCTGTCTTGCCTTCTTCAATGATGGACTATGATATAGAAGCATAAGCCACATAAACCCTTTTCTCCCCAGCTTGCTTTTTGGTCATGGTGTTTCATCGCAGCAAGAGAAACCCTAACTAAGACAACAATATTGGAGCTTTATTGCAGAACTTCACACATACCACACAAATGCTCTGTCCCTCACCAACAGCCCCAATTCATTTATTTTGTTCTTTTAATAGAGTCTTGACAAGTTGCCCAATTTGACCTGAAATTTTTGATCCTCCTGCTTCAGCCTCCCAAGTAACTATTAGGGGCTCATTTTAACATTTATGGCTGCAAAAATCAAATCATGACTCTTCAAGTTACCATTCTACCTTCATAAAAGCTTTTCCATTAAGAAACACTGTACTGATGTGGGATTCCCCTCTGGATGCTGTGAATGTGTTTTGTTACCCTTGGTTAATAAAGAAGCTGCTTTGGGTCTCTGCAAGGCAGGAATTCCAAGCAGATATAGAGGAGAAAAGTTGGCAGAGTCAGAGAGATGCCATGTAGCTACTAAAGGAGAAAGACACAGGAACTTTACCCAGTAAGCCATAGCCTTGTGGCAATACTCAGAATAATAGAAATGGGTTAATGTAAGGCATAAGAGTTAGTTAATAAGAAGCCTAAGCTAATAGGCCAAGCAATGTTTTAATTAATACAGTTTCTGGCTGGGTGATGGTGGTGCACGCCCTTAATCCCAGCATTCGCATTCTGGAGGCAGAGACAGGTGGAGCTCTGTCAGTTCAAGACCAGCCTGATCTATGTGAGCTACAGAGAAATCCTGTCTTGAAAAACAAAAAACAAAACAAAACAAAATTAGTACAGCTTCTGTGTGATTATTTTGGGTCTGGGCGGCTGGGAAATGAATGAGCAACCTCCACCAACACTTACCATTTGTGGTGTGGTGTAACGTATGCCTTTAAGAATAGTACTCAGGAGGCATAGGCAGGCAGGTTTCTGTGAGTATGATGCCAGCCTGTTCTATAGAGTGAGTTCCAGAACAGCCAGGGCTACACAGAAAAACCCTGCCTTGAGAAAGAAAAAAAAAAGGCAACAAAAATTTTTTGGTTTGTTATTTGTTTGTTATTTGCTGTTTTGCTTTGAGATAGCCCTGGCTCTCGTGTAGCTGAGGCTGGCCTTGAATGGTTGATCCTCCTGCCTCCATATCCTGACTGCCAGGACTGTAGGCCTGGGCCACCATCCTCAATTGTGTGACACCACCGCAAGCCTGGAAGTCATTGTGTAGGCCTGCCTGAATTTGAGCCAGTGATCCTCTTGCTTTGTCCTCCATAAACTGAGATTACAGGTATATGACAAAATTTTGACTCAATTTTTACGTTATTTCAATTAGAAGAGCAGGGAGGTAGTGGTGGATGCTTTTAGTCCCAGACCTCCAGAGACAGAAGCAGGTAGATCTCTGAGTTTGA